GTGGAGGTGATAGTAGGAGGAAGATGATGTACGGACTCGAGTCACATGCATCTCACTATTATTCTACCGTCAATGCGGGCTCAACTTTTGCTACTTTTAGATTCAATGGAGTTGACGATGCATAGCTTAAGAAAGTACAAGAGCAAACATTTGCAAACACGATAGACGTTCATAACTTACGAGGTACCGTGAACGACCTACGGGGCCAAGTGGCATCGTTGTTGGATACAACAAATGAGTTGGGAAACTATAGCCGACAACGGTTTATGATGATGTCACGGATGTAGTAGATGTTCATGCGGCATTTTGACCATGATGTAGTTCATTCGTCGTTCCCGAGATCGACGATGACGCAACCCGACCTCTAGACGACTCTACCCAACCTCCGAGTGATCCCGGACATGAAATTATTTTAGCTTTTACGTTTTCTTGTATTAACCGCAACCTATGTATTGTTTTTCGTTATTTAATAATCGCATAATCTTTAGCAACGTGTTAATACATTTCGAATAATAAAAAATTATGTATACGATATTTTACCGGATTTTGGTTATTTTAAAATTGTTATTTTTAACTCATTTTATTTCGGTTGAAAAAAAATTTTAATTAAACAATTAGCGATGGTTTTAGAAACGGTCTAGACGGTCACTAAAGACAAAGAAATTAGAAACGGTCTAGGACCATCGGAAGTCCTTCGCTATTTAGCAACGGACTTATCAAGGGTTTAATAAACCGTCGCTAATTTTGCAAGTATTTACAGCGAACTTTAGCGATGGATAGTTTTTTTTTTTTTTTTTTTGCAACGGTTTTGATCGTTGCTAAATTTGTAACGATAAAAACCGTCACGAAATTTTATCGATGAGCGTTTTAGCAACGGTCAATAGACCTTCGCTAAGGCGTTGTAAAATCATTTTTTGCGATGGTTTTTTTTAAGTTAACGATGGTTTTGATCGTCGCTAATTAGCATTTATCTTGTAGTGGATATGTATGATAAATCAAGGACGAAGTTTATCGTCCCAAAAAATCCTCATTGTGGATGTCAACATTTTATAGATACATTTGCCGACGAATTTTTTTTGTCAACAACAATGTTATCCCACCTCAAATCTTTCACAATTGCGGACGAAAAGGACTAATTCTGGACGAATTTAGATACATTCTAAGACAAAAATAATTGTTCATAAATGATTGACATTCATGGATGAAACTCATATTCGTCCGCAATAAGTATCCTTTAGGGATGATTTTTACTTTGCTTCTAAAAATACAATTACTTATGCGGCTTTTGGGACGATTTAGCTTTGCATCTCAAAATGTTTTCATTGACAAATTTTAATTATTTGAGGATGAATATTTTCATACCTAAATTTCAAATTTGTTATAGTGCGGTTTAGTTTCATCCTGTTCAACTTGAAGAAGGGTGATAGGATTATGATACACTAGAACTCTAGCATTCAAATTCAAAACATTTGTTATATTTATAGATCAAATATGATAGGACTCATTCAAACATTTAAACCTACAATTGTAACCTGTTTATATGTGAACATAGAAACCACACAATGCGTGGAATTCATTTGAGTATAAGCTTCTTCAAATTTGAATTCATACATCTCTTTCGGGTTTTAGCTACTACCAATCGCGATATACCTTCAACAAATCGAAGGTTTTACCATAGGAGGAAAAAAACGAAAAGAAAAGAAAAGCAAAACTTATCGTAGTGGATTATCTAACATTCGAGCACCAGAAAGAAATTATATATATATTAGTGCACAAACCGTTCATTTCAGTATTGTAACTGTTTTGGAAAACAGTATAACCTCTTTTAAACCATTATTATTTAAAAAAAAAAATGGTAATCACAGTCTTCAAAAAGTCTCTTCTTTACTACATATATGACTTTATGTCGGACAAAGAAAAACAGAATAACCTCTTTTAATCATTATTTATAAAAAAAAAAAAAAAAAAAAAAAAAAAACCGTTTCCTGTGGTTTTGATTTTAAATTGTAATCACTGTCTTCAAAAAAGTCTCTTCTTTTTAGGCTATATACATGTGACTTTATTTTGGACAAAAAGTTAGCAGCTTGTTCTTGATTAAACTGTGCAGTTTATATATTTGTTCTTTACCAAAGCGTGCAACATGTGGGTTATTTTATGCATGTTTTAATTAAGATGATATAAAGTTAAGACATTTAAAATTGAATTTCATTAAAAAAATTTAAGATTTGTGTTAGGTGATTATTTTTTTCAACTTTATATATTATGTATCAATTGTTTAATTATTCAACATGAGATACATGTTCTCTAACAATCGACTTTGTAACAAAATAATAATAAAAAAAAATGATTGAATAGCAGTCTATAATATAGTTCAACTTCCAGACTCAAGTTTTTATGAATAAATTCACTTGTAAATTAAGAAACAAGGTTTCAAACTTAACAATACTCAAAATTTGAAAAGAAACTCATGTTTATTGATTTGAAAAGAAACTCATGTTTATTGATGGGAAATGATACTTATAAAATGAGACTCTTATTTTAGATAATCTATTGTCTGTAATCTAGTGTCTAATAAAAATATTATATTCTTTATAATTACTTTCTTTGCGAAGCATATCCTAAAAAAGACACTAAAAATTTGCATATCAATCGCTTTCTAGCAAGTAGTAAATGATAAAACTTAGCCGGGAATGCTATTTTCTTTTCTTTATAATAACTTTAGTTGGGTTATTGGGGGAAAAAAAAACCTTTAGTTGAATTATTAAAGGAAGTAAATAAATGAACTCCAGGATTTGATCTGATGGTTAAAAATGTTTGCTTTTTTTTTTTTTTGACTTTTCTGAAATTAAATTTTAAAACCGATATTTGGATAATTTATGAAATTATTTTGAATGTACTAATTCGATGTTGGAGGTATACTTTTAAGATAATTTGGAACAGCACTTGCAAGAATTTATTAAATAGTTTTTACTATACCAGATCGATGTTGGGGTGAGCCCTTTTAGAAAAGAACTTAGTTTTGATGGATATGTAAATCGGAAGGTGTCAAAAGTAACCGAATGGATAACAAGAATAAAAGATCAAAAGCAATTAAAGTGTCAAAAAAGGTGTCAAAAGGCAACTGGTTGGTTACCACTTCTTACCCAGGAAAAGAAAAGGTACATAAAGATATATAATGTGTATTCCAAAGGGAAGTGGAGACCAGAGACATATAGCTGTGCTTAAAATTGGAAAGACATTACCACGAATCTCAATGTTAATTGGCTAAATAATGAAGCTTTGCACTTTATTTTGAATAACTTACGCAACTACCATTCCATCTGAAGGATAATTATGACGTAAGAGGAGACATGTAAGTGTGGAAATAGAATCATTAATAGATTAATATTCATAGCAGAACTTCCACGAAGAGTGGCTTTGAAAGGAACGTGACTCGTATTGTCACAGTTGTATGGAAAAATCTGAGAAAAATTCTACAAAGGCAAACGCTAGAATTGTGCCTTCTCCCGCGAATTATCACTAAAATTATTGACGAATTATTACTTAACAACTTAAATTTTTAAATGTGATAATCTTTTGATATAATATTAAAGTTTTGATAATTAAACGATTATGAATTCAAATCTCATCACTTTCATTTCTTTTCTAATTATTTTCACTTGAAAAAGTTAAAGAGCTTTAAATTACTTTTACTTTAAAAAAATAGTTAGAAAACTTAAAATTTTAGATTGAAATGATTCTTTAATAGTCATATCTGGTTTGTATTGTCACACATATGAGTAATTAATTCATTTCTTTGTACCAGAGAGAGTAATTTATACTTTACTCTTTATGACAGGTTAAAAAAAAAAAGAAGTTATGTTTATTTTCTCAATTTATTGAGTTTAAATCTTAAGATTAATCGGTATATATGAAAATTTATTTAATTGTTTTAAATACGTAAATTTTAATAAATTCAAACACTTCTAGTCACAAGAGTCCATGCTCGGGAGCAAAAATACAAACTCCCCACGCATAGAAGAATGTAACATACACTGAAAACATGAAGCAAACGGGTTGCAGAAGGCACAGAAGACACTCAGTCAACACTCCCAATACTTAGTAGGCGCATAGTTTAGAGATCCAGAGAGAATGGGAAGGTAGTGTATTTCAGCCAACTACTACCAGCAATGAAATTGCGAGGAGTAAAACGTTTAGCTTCAGCTGCAGAAGTAATCACCTTGTATCCTTTCCAGTTGACCCTTTCAGAGGTTGCAGCACCAGCCCCACTGTTGTTGTACTCTGCATAATATAATGCGTTCAGTGCAAAATTGCCCTTCCACTCAAGCCACCCAGCGGGGTCTATCACATCACTTATGGATGATTGCATGACAACAGTCCTTGAATACTTCTTCCAGGGTCTGCCAAGATAGGCTGAGAAATTGCCCCTGACAGGTTGTAGATCAGAAGTGGTATGAATCCTACTTTTCTGAATTACAATGCCAGTGTTTTGATTAGGATCACTCCTCCCTTGGGCTGTTATTGTGATTGTCTGGCCTGGATTGGGACGGCGAGCATGGATGTCACAATCTTGAAAAACAACTGCAGAATTGCCGAAAATGAAATCAACCGTGCCTGCTATCAAACAATTTATGAAGAATTGCCGATTTGCTTGCACATGGAGGGTGTCACGGTATCCAAGCACGTTACATTTGTAGAATGCTGCAAGGTCCGAACTAACACGCAGTGCCACAGCTTGTCGCTTGAACGGACCGGCTGCGTTTTGGAAGGTTATGTCCCTGGCTAGGAATCCTTCACCCACAGCAGCTACATTGTTCATGAGAATGCAGCTTAAGTCATTATAAAACTTAAAAATCGATTCCAATATCGAAAATATGCGAAAAATTGTTAGTGAAATTCTAAAATATCTCTAGAATTATTCTTTCATTATCAATTCTATGATCACTCGTATATTACCAAAAAAGAAAAAATAGAAAGTTAAAAATAAGCAAGTTTTCTTTTTAAAAAAATGAACAATATGCAAAATGAAGAGAAAAACGAAAATTACCAACGGTGGCAGAATGGAAGGTTGTTATGCCATCTACCACACTCCTACTTGCTGTAATGATCGTTGTACTTCTTCCATCTCCAAGAAACATTAAGTTAGTCTTATTGATTGGTACTTGAACGGTTTCTCTGTAAACACCTGCCTTGATTCTGATAATGTATCTCTTACTGCTTCTCGTTGGAGCAGCGGCAACTGCAGCTGATACCGTACTATAATTCCCACTGCCATCAGCAGCCACCACCACATCTGGAGTCAATGATGATGACTGCAACAACCTCTTGTCGGCTACTGACAACCACTTTGGCCACCCACTTTCATTTCTGTCGTTTTCCTCCTTGAGATTCCTCTTTGTGCTTTTAAGCTCCTTGGCAATGCCTTCGTCTGTCTTTTTGTTGATCATTGCCAAGATATTACTGCATAATTTTTTGACATTATCTACTCCATCCGAAATAGAATCACGCAACTGCTTATCTGCGATGGAATGAGAGAAACCATCCATGACTGTGTCTTGGTAGCTTAGGCAAGAACTCACTGGGGTATTGATGTCCGGCACGGCTTGTTGATCACTAAGAGGAATCTCGTTCTTGTAGTACTTAAGTAAATCAGCTTTAGCCTGATCTACTTTAGCGTGAGCCTTATTTAAAGCATCTCCAGAATAGTCATTATTGTCCTTAGAAGAACTGAGAGCATCAACTTGCGGTTTGGTGAATCTCTTCTGAGGATCGTTTTGGATTTCGTTTATTTTGTCGTTACTGTCCTTAACAGCTCGTGTAGCAGCTTTTAACTGCCCTTTAATAACATCGTTTCCGTCCTTGATAGACGCCAAATTGGCAGCGGCTCCAGGGGCATTGACAATAGCTGAGTAGCACAATTCAGGATATCTTGCGGAGCTGCATGACATCTTTATGATGGAATAAGCAGCAGCATTTTTGTTGGAGTTGTTCTCTGAATTTGCCTGTGTAAGAATGGAAGCTATAGTGGCAACAAGCAGGAGAAAAGCAAAAGGAGCTAACTGGAGTTTTTTGTTTTTCTTGGAGAAGGAAATCTGCTTGCCAGAATCTGATATTTCGGTAAAGCTTACCTCCTCTTGGCTCATTTTTGCTTGGACTGTGTAGAAACAAAGCACAGAAATGAAGGGAGGGTATAGACTTCTAGTGACAGTGAGTTTGGTGGAGTACACAAAACTATACCATATATAGTGACAGAAATGAAGGGAGGGTATAGACTTCTAGTGACAGTGATACTTCGGTAATGCTTAAAACGATGTTCTTTTTAATGGAATCTAATTTCAATTATTTAATTCAATATAGTATAAAAGATTTAAAGACTTCCAAAGACGTAGAAAAAAAATCCTTACATATATATATATGCCAACCAAGTTTTTCCCAACAAGATTAATTAAATACACTAGAGTTGAGCTTCAATTTATGTTCTATCACAAATCCGGGCAAGGACGTTTATACTTGGTTGTAAAATTAAGCAAACTAGGATGTGCTTTACTAATTTGAAATCCTAATAATTGTATCCTTGGAGTGTTTATGAAGTAATTCTCCTTCTATGACATTATCAAATTCTTATCCTTACCAAAACCAACAGATTTTTGCTGAAGCAGCTATTTAAACATTCAATATACAAGAGGTGCTTAACCACTGGTTTCCTAGTAGAAGAGGTCTAAATTTTATCCTTACCGAAAACCCTTTGTAGTCATGAGCTGATATATTAATGTCTCCTTCGGCAATGTAAAAATCTGTTCACAACATGAAAATTAGTGATGTTGAGGAGGGAAAAAACAAAGGTGGCTACAAAAGAAAGGCATAAGGTAGATCCACTGTTTCATTTCTCGTAATTCCATCTATTTCTTTTTCACCAGATAAGCATAATAAATCTCATATACTTGCCTATAATTATATAATTATTAGAGTACACATTAACCAAATTTATCAATTAGATGGCGGTGATCCTGATCAGGGGGGGAAAATAATTTTTATCTTTACCCACATGAGAAAATAGAGGTTTAGAAGCATTTTAAAAGTTCTGAAAATGACGAAATAAAAAATCTTGTGAAAAAAATAATTTTGTTTCGAATTATTATATGATGAAAAAATATTCACTCTCCTCTATTCAGAATTTCTATCTTTTTATTTTAGAATCATTTGCAATAATTGCCCACTAGTATAATAAATATAATAAATATTCTTATTTTTCCATCTCACTCACCGATGTAGCGGAAACTCATAAGAAAAAGATAAATACCGTTGATCCGAAATTCAAATACCAGTCTACTATAACTCTGTTGAATTGCACACACAAATATCGGAAAATAGGCTTCAATCTCGTTGATTCAAAGAATGCTAAAAATTGAAAAAAAAACTAAGATACTCTCTCACAAAAGTTTATTAATCAAGAAAAAGTAACGTTTTTCAGCCTAGACGTCTTATATAAATAGTAAACTTTAGGTCAAAACCCTAAAGCAATTTGAAAAGAAAATAAACACTAAAAATTCAAAATTAAATAGAAAAAATCTTGAAAATCACTAAAAATCTCACGAAACAGTAAATTACAATTTTGAGAGCCTAAACGATATTTTTTTGTCAAAATCACACGAAAATCATAGGCAAAGCCCATGTGTTTTGATCGTTGGCCCGTTTGGTATCGAATTAGGTCTAAAAACCCTCAAAATTAGGCTAAAAATATCAAATCACGTTACCATCCGCTATCATGCTGCTCCATGAGTTCCAAGGTCTTTTGGTCCACGTAGCTCACAATAACTAAAGTCTAAATCTATTTGTGGGATTAAAACAGAGTGATATCAAGAACGTTAATATTATTATTAGATTTTTTATCGTCTAACATTGCACTTATTACAACAACAACAGCTCTAGGTTTTTTAATAGCACACAAAATAAATTGTACAATTTGTTTACAACATTTGGACGTTGATTATAAGTTTTTTATATGGTCCATTTAAAACTTAGAAATAAATATTATGGGTGGAATTAGCGTATCATAAAAGGTCATGATATATTTTTGTTTGGGAGTTTGATGCAAAAACTACCAGAAGGTCATGACATACAAATATTACTTTGACATGCAATGTAAATTATTCTTGAAGTAAACAATTTTCAAAGTAAATTATTTGTTTCCCTTCTCAGTTGCAGTTGAATAAACTTGTATGGCTAAAGTCATTCGGATTCCTCTATCTTTTTTTTCTTCTTTTTTTCACCTTTTATATTTACAAATATTACTTTGACACTACTTTATAAGATTCTTTCTTCTCTTTTCAATTCTTATGCTATGTCAGTACTTGATCACTTCATTTTTATTTCAAGTTAGACATACACGTCAATCACAACTTGAGAGGTAAATTACGAATTAGTCTCTTTAATTGGTTTTCACAAACAAATTAATTACTTTTCTCTATTTTTAAAAACTAATTATTTATTATATATATATTTTTATTTTTTATTTGAAAAAAATATGGAAAAATAGATATTATGAAAAGATTAATATTGAAATATATATTATTAAAATAAAATAATATTAAATTAAAAATAACGCATAATCGTTAATGGAATGCCAACATGATAGTATTTCAGCTTTGTTGAAGGGAGACTAGGCGGGTTAATAGATGGCACCACCAGACCACAAGATGGCCCCGCCTGCTTTAGACAAAAAGAGATGCTCTTGTTGTCATAAGGAGAACAATAAGGTAAGTTCCATGTAGTATCCATTGGGCTTGTACAACCTATACATTTTATGGGTTTAACGATAAAACTTATCTTTAAACTATTGAATTCTATTAATTTAAGACTCATACTATCCATTTAAGATATTTGAATTCTAAATTACTTTTTTTTTTTTTGAAAAAATATTATTGTTTTCTCATTATTTCTAACGAAAAACGTTTACCATTAACTAAAATATAGTTTAATGGCAAAATTTACCCCTAAATTATTTAGGCTATGGCAAAATAAAGTCTAAGTACATTAATAATTTAGACTATTTGAACCCTAAATTATTAATTTGTGGTAAATTTTGTCCTTCTCAATTATTCTTAATAGTAAAAGTGATGATTATTAACTAAAATGCTTTAAACAACATCGTTTTAAGTATTTCGCGGACTTTTTAAGAATTAAAATTAATTTTAAAAAATAATAAGAATTTTTTTTTTAATTAGATGGATCCATTACACATCATTAATTATCTAAAAATAAAAGTACGATCCACAAATAAAAAAATATTATCTAAGCTAACTTAAAACTAATTATTTTTAAATAATTTTTAGAAAAAATTATTATTATTTTTTTTCATATCATCAACTATCCAATAACCAAAAGTCAAATCCATAAACAATAAAATCATTTGACCTTCCTTAAAGCTTACTATTATTTAAAAAATGAAAATTAATTATAATTCTAAAAAAAAATAGAATTGTCAACATTTTAATTGTTAGAAATAAAATAAAAATATAAATTTACTTAAAAATTAATAGTTTAGGATCCAAATAGCCCAAATCAATAGTATAAGTCTTATTACCACAACCACGGTAGTTTAAAGATACAGCTTTGTCATTAATTTTTTTTTTTTTAACTCACGTACCTAAGGTTCTTAGCCAAATTAGTCTACTAAGATTTGAATCCGTGATTTTTTGTTATAATAGACTACTATTACTGACCTATAAACTCTTTTGTAGTTTATCATTAAACTATATTTTAGTTAACAATCAATATTTTTGTCACTATCCGACGCTCTGGACGAGACTCCTTGAAAATATCTAAAATTAGATCTAAGAGTTAATTTTTTATTTATAGAGTTTAGAGTCACCACCTAGTGTTGAAGGAACTAGGAACCTAAAACGAGCACCGGTTCGGAGATTCTTATGATAAGGAGTTGGTTACGCTTTTGGGAAGATATCGATCATCCAAAAGCGCTCTTTTTGAAGAAAGGTACCATGTCCGGTTTAGTTCTAAATTTATCTCCTAAAGTATTTTATTTTTGTCAAATTATTTTTCAATTTTTGAAACATCATTTTTCAAATCCAAATTGAATTTTTAATTTTTGGGTGTGGCATCGTATTGAAACGATCGTCGATCCCCATTGTTAGGTGACACGTTGGTCCAAACATCGAATCTACTATTAGTCTTGACACAATCGATGTGTTGGAGGACATCCCGATTAGAAGGTGATTTTTTTTTAGTGGTGTCAGTCCTTATCGGATAGGAGACTTCATCAAAAATTTTGGGTATTCTTTTTGGTGATATCGATCCCTATCGAATAGGAGACTTCGTCGAAAATTTTAGATATTTTTTTTTACTTTTTTGTTTATTCTTTAAAATTTTAATTATTAAAATCAACTAAAATAAATTTTAAGAATTAAATATATTGAAATCATCGTCCGTCTCTAATAAATAGGAGACTCGTTGATCTAATATTTTAATCCTATCAAAAATCACATATTAAAATAAATTTCACACCTAAGTATCTCTAGATTTTTTAATATACGTAAGACTAAAAAAATTACTAAAAAAATAGAATAAAATAAAAAAAATCAAACAAATCCAAAATTCACCTATACTATAAAATTACAAAAATGCCCCCGGAATGTCAAGAGTCACCGCCAAGTGACCATTCGTCTTTCGATGACTGTTCGTGCACGTGGACCACCCCACCTTGTAGATCGGATCGTTGCGCATCCAATGATGGTGGTATCGACCGGAGACGACGCTAGAGAAAGGAGATCGGAGCCTCTAAAGATCCGATCGGATCTCCTTGCTTCACCGGTGATGAATCCGATCTCCTTTCGGGATTCCAAGCATACCGGTCGACTCGTGAGGTTGAGAGAAGTATTTCTGTGGTGTTTAGGACCTCCAATTCTTTCTAGATCGATCAATTTTTCTACATTTGCCAAAATGGGTCAATTCCAATTAAACTATTTTTCGGTGTCTTTGGGTCGAGATTTTTGAATAGGAACACTTAAGGAGATAGACGATCGGATCCGTGGTGGTAGATCTCATTTTGGTGATCGGAGTTAAGAGAAACTATCGGGTCTTTTTACGGGTTGGGTCACGAACGTTTGATCCTTGATTTCTCTCTCCT